CACTCGCCCCCCAGCGCGTCTCCGGAGGGCAGCTCAGCCAGGCTGTGCTCTTACATATTCTGTACATGTGAAGTGTAGAGCATCCTCACCTCACCACCTTCTGGAAAGGACCAAAAAGTTTAGGCTTCTGGGAAGGGTCCCCGGGTCTCTGGTGAAGTCCATTCTAACCTCAAGTCCAGACAAGACCCCAGAATCACCCCAAACCCTCTGTGCTCCACTGGCATCCCTGCCTGTCACCTGGGCTTGACATAGGGCTGAAAACACCTCACCTCCAAGACTGGAGATGAGACCATGTTTTCTTGTTACACAAATAATATATTATACTAGAGGCCCAGTGCACAAAATTCATGCATGTGTGGGGTCCCTAGGCCTGGCCGGTGATCAAGGATAATCAGTTCCCCACCTCCCCACCTCCCCACTGCTTCCTTCCCTTGCCACCCGCGTCCGCCACCACCCATCCCCGGTTCCCCATCCCAGCCCCAGGGACCTGGCCCTGATCTAGTGATAGGGGCCTGCCAGCCTGGAGGAGGGACCAGGAGATTGACCAGCAAGCCCCACTGGTGATGGGGGCCTGCGGGCTGGGGGCAAGTCCTGAGTTGGGCGTCTGCCCCCTGGTGGTCAGTGCACATTATAGCAACCAGTCCTTCCATTGTAACAGTGGCTTAGGCTTTTATATATATAGATAATTTATATAAATATTAACATGAATTTTACATACTAGCTATACTAATAAAAGCCTATGTGGCTCTCACACCCTCACGTCATCACAAGATGGCCGCCCCGATGTGGTCACAAGATGGCCACCACAAGATGGCCAGCAGGGGAGGATAGTTGGGGGACATTGGGCCGGCAGGCAGGTGAGTGGTTAGGAGCCAGCAGTCCCAGATTGTGAGAGGGATGTCAGGCTGGGCTGAGGGACAACCCCTTCCCCCAGCCCAGTGCACGAATTTCATGCACTGTGCCTCTAGTATATATATATAAAATATTAATATATAAAGTACTTATATACAAATATAATTGTACATATGAAACTACAGAGAAACAAAACTGTTGAATTTTAAAATAAAATTCATTTGCAATCTCATGACCTAGAAAGTACCATTGTTAATACATATATTTTGCGATACGTACGTGTGTATGCACGCGCATGGGGGAGGTGGTTAAACAAACAAAAAAATGAAACCATACTACATGTACTATTTTCTCTTAACACTATGAGCATAGTGCCTGAAAGGCACTAATGGGTGGCACTAAAGGCTCACAAGGTTGTGAGCATCTAATTGGCTGTGTGACCTTGGTCAAGTTAACAAAACTCTCTGTGCCTCGATTTCCTCATATGTAAAATGGGGATGCTGTGAGGATTAAAGAAATTATGTGTAAAGCTCAGAACTGGGCCTGGTACATAGTGTTCCCTCAGTAAGTGTTAGTTATCATTACTTTTATTATTATGTCTTTTTTTAAAAAAATATGAAACACGAATTTGCGCGTCATCCTTGCGCAGGGGCCATGCTAATCTTCTCTGTATTGCTCCAGTTTTAGTATGTGTGCTGCCGAAGGGAGCACTATTACGTGTCATTCTTAACAGTTGCACAGAATTCCATTGTGTGGACCAATGGATTTGGTTCTGAACAGGTAATTTGCAATGTCTGCAGACATTCCTGGGTGTCACATTGGGGTAGGAGGTGCTATTGGCATCTGGTGGATGGAGGCCAGGAAACTGCTAAACACCCTACAGTGCAGGGCCGTCCCCCCAAAACGTCGATCGGGCCAAGGTTGAGAAAACCTAGTCTAGACAGTTTCTGGTTTGCTTAACCAGCTCCCTGTTGTTGGATGTGTACTTTGGACTGGTCTTTCTTAGTCTACACCCCACTGCGGAGTATCTGTACAAGCATTGTGGCGCTTGAGGAGGGGAGGGGAGCGGCTGTGCCTGTATCCAGCCGGGACATGGGCGGGAAGGCAGTCTGAGATGCGTGACCCTCAAGCCCCTGTGTACCTCCTGTGACCCTGCTAACTATGATGTAAAGCACAGAGCTGGGTCGTGTCACTGGCGACAGACCACGGGGTTAACGACCCCACTGCCACTGAGGGGCAGCTCCCTGGAGATGTCTGGCTAAGATAAGGGAGGGGAATAAAGGGCTGCTGTATATTACGCCTCTGGGTGACCTTTGGGGCGTGGGGGATGTCTTCCTTTGTCTTGTCTGCAGACTAGAAACTAAAACTTAAAACTTGCGATTGGACACCAAAACCCACATGTAAATCGTGCTTCCTTTGCTGTGAGACGAGCCCACAGTTCTCATGGAGAGTGTAAAGGGGCTCCCCAGGCCCAGAGGGTCGATGGACAGAGAAGCCCCGGGTGCTGGCTTGTGGGAGCCAAGTCCCCTTCTCTGGGCTGTGCTCCCCGAGTCCCTCCTGAGGCCCCCAGCCTCTCCTGCGGGGTGTGCTTCTACAGCACACAGGACGCTTGCCCCCCACTCACCTGCAGCCCAGAGACCCTCCTGGCCTGTATTTCCTCAGCCTTCTCTGCACCGACACTGGTACAAAATGAACACCACAGACACGGCCCAGCCTTATGCACGGAAACAAGTGGGTGAGCGCGTGAGGCTACCAGTGTCCGAATGGTGACCGTGGTGATGGAACTCAATTGGGATGACACGCCCGCCAGAGCACCAGGCAACTTCTCCGGGGAGAAGGTGTCTGGGCTGCAGCAGGTGATGAGGGGGGTCAGCGCATGAAGATCGGGGGAGTGGGGGGGCACTATTTCCAGCAGAGGGAACAGCAGTGCGAAGACCCTGCAGAGGGAATGAGTGTGTCTCATTGGAGGAAAGGACAGACACCTGTCAGCCTCTGAGATGTTCCCGCCCTCCTCGCTGCATCTCACATACCTACCTTTTCCTAAGAAGCGGGGCTTCCCAGTGGTTAGGTACCAGGGCTGCCTGGGCTCCGCGCCTGGGCGCGGGGATTTCCCTGTCCCTGCGAGGGGGGCAGGCCCCTACCCTCTCTTTTCTCGCCAATGGAGCTGCTAATAGTGTCTCTCTTTAAGATCGACTGAATAGCACTTGGCACAAGGCAAGCGCCCAATAAATGTTACTGTTATTTTATGGGCCATTGGGAAGCTTGCTGGAGCCAAGCCACAGCATATAGAGAGGAAATTTATTTCCTCACAGTTTCCCGCCACGAACTCAGGAGGGGAGAGTCATTTGGCACCGCTCTGCCCAGCGGGCAGCAGCCCGGCTGCCATGGTGGGATTTCTGCTCTCAGAGGCAAGGCCCAGGGAACACGCCTCCCAGGTCAGCCAGCACCCCCCTGACCCCCCACCAGGGCAGGAGTGGGAGGCCCTTCTCTCTGGGGTCCTCCTCTGGCTGAGGATGAAGGGCTCATGAGGAGATGGGCGAAGCCTGGTCCAACACAGTCATGTCACTTTTCATTCCAGCGCCACATTCCCACACAGGTGAGAGGATCTGGGGGCCAGGTAAGGGGTGCGGTGCCAAGGAAACCCCTCCTGACAGCACAGAGACCCCCCCACCCCACCCCGAGGCTCACTTTCCTCCCTTCCTCCCCGCCAGCGGGCATCCCCGCAGTGCCTGGTGTCAGCCTCTCCCTGGCGCCTCATAACTGCCCAGGTCCCCCTGCTCCTGGACAGGAAGCCCATCCTGGCCCGCCCCTCTGACCTCCACCCTCTCCTCTCTTCCCTCCCCTCCCCGGCCTTCCTGCCTCCGCTCTGCCAGCCCTCTCCTCTCCCCGCCCCCCCAGCCTCACACAAAGGCCCAGGCACCTTTCTCCCCCTTTCACAGTGGGGTCAGGGCTCCGATTCCAATGTCCCCCAGGTCTGTGACAACAACGCTCAGGAGTCACCAGGCTCTCCGGGCACAGGCCTTGGCGCAAAGACACATCTGATCTGAAAGCGGCTTTGTGGAAGCAGGGATGAAAGTGTCTTCAAGTTTCCTCCTTTAAAGAAGTGGTGTCTGGGACCCAGGGGCTTTGCGCTGCCTAGGAGTTTGCAGCTTCCTTTGCTCTGAAAAGACCGATGGGGAGGGGGGAGGAGCCCAGCGGGGCACACTCAATGCCCCCAGGCTGAGGTAGTGACTGGGAATTAGGGGAGGACAGGTGAGCCCTGGGACAGGACCTCCTGCCCTTGGGCAGTCATGAGCACTGACCAAATGCATGGCCTGACCCGGGCTGGACACACTTTGCCCATCCACTCAATGGGCGCGCACTGGACACCCGCCTGTCACACCACCATGGGACATGCCCAAGCAACCCACGAGGCACGACATGCGCGTGCACTCACGCATCTAGCAGATGATTCACCCTTGTCCCTACATCCAACAATTACACACCAACAGACTCACAAAGACAACAATATCCCCACCGACAGAGCCGCATTACATTTACACGCAACACAGCTCCCACGGCAACAGGTCATCCCACTCACACCTCCCAGCACTTTCATTTCCGCCCACCATGTGCAGAGCCCCACCCTCCCCTACGGGCACCCCCCACTTCGGGGCTCGGCCCTGACCCACACACATAGCAGATGGCTCTCACGATTTACACACAGCTGTGTCTGGTCAGACCCTTTCTCTCCTAGAACTCCATTCTTAGATTCTCCGTGGTGGTGGCCGAGATGTGGGCACCCAGCTCCAGGCCTCCATCCTGCAGCTGAATGAAGGCTACATAAGAGAGTTCCTCTTTCCCAGCAGCCCCAGGCGGAGCCCAGGGTTGGTTCTGATTTGCCAGGACCAGCTCTCAGGCCCCCATGGGGACCTGGAGGGTAGTTAAGCCCCAGCGAAGCACATAGAGCTAGAGTTGGAGGCATGATTCGCCCAAAGAAAATAAGATCACTGTTACCAGAAGAAGGAAGAATGGACTCAGAACAGGCAAAACAGTGCCCATAAAAACAGTGATTTTCAATCTTCAGTGAGAGCACA